CATCCATCATATGATTGCCAGGAAATAGATCACACTGGGTCACGCCACAAGCATCCGAAATGTGATCAATTTCCCCAAGTGATCACACCCTAAGGAATTGTCCAATTCCTCATAAAACAATGGAGTGAAGAATATTTTTAAAAGATCCCTGCAAGAACTAGAAAATTTACTTTTGGGGATTATGATTCCTGGAATCATCCAGTGAGTATATCCAGAATAACTATGCCAGGTTCTGGGAATTGTAATGCCCTCGCTCCCAGTAACTTCTCTAAGATCTGAGCATCACTGCAAAAAACAAGCATAATCAGAATAAATCTCTCAAAATCCAATTTGATATGGGAAACAGGGATTCACCACAATACAGTGTTCCTTTTTTTGTGATGTCAAGATCTGATGGACACCTGTTCTCTTAGCAGAGATCAGTCACAGGCCACAGTCCATGAAAAGCAGTCAGATTCGAGATGCGTAGTAATAAGTGTGACTCCAAGGGAACAAGCATTGTAGTTGGCAAATATTGAAAGCAACCCCTACGGGTGGAAATATAATATACCGAAATCTTTTCTGTTAAGTATGTGTTATCAGGATCATATCCAAGGATGTCATCATAAACTGTCTTCTGAACTCTGTGCCACCTAAAGTGGGGTTCCCATGTGCTAGGTTTTTGGTCCTTAGTGTGAAATTGTAAGCCCCCTGGGCCGAGTGTGCCAACTGAACAAGTCCTATTCCACACTGGGGGTAAAACTCGTCCTGCCTAGTGGCCAGACACCCAAAAGAGGCCTCGGGGCAAGCCGTAAAGATTCTGACTGGCAAAGTTGTGAATATCTTCCTGTAATCCATAGGCCAAATCGGCCCACAGTGTGTTATTCCATAAGTTTACACTGCCAGTGTTTTCAGTGTCAAAAGGGGCTGTAAGAGACTGGTGGGTGTTATTAACTGTATCAACTGGCCCTACAATAATGGTGATGTGTCCACGTGAATTGGATGGAATGATGGGTCCACATGAGTTGGGTGGAATGTAAAGTATCATGGTAGGTCCACTCAAAGGCGAAGACACCCTGAGATTCAGGTGCAAGTGGGATACAAAAGAAAGCATCTTTGATGTCAATAACTGTGTAGAAAGTCTGTTGGCTGGTGAACAATGTCAAAACTGTATAAGGATTGGCAACCAGGGGGTGAATGTGAGAGACTCGGTTGTTAACTTCCCAGAGATCTTGAACAAATTGCCAGGAGCTGTCAGGTTTGGGGACTGGAAAAATTGGGGTTGATCGGGGGACACAGTAGGCACCAAGAGTCCAGAAACAAGGAAAGATGAAATAGGAAGTTGGAGTCCTTTTCTTGCTGTTGTCTTAATAGGATACTGAGGTACACTGATGGGTTATGCAGTTTGGAGCAATGGAGCCATATGTGGAGTGGCAAACCAGGCTTTCCCCGGGGGCACTGGAGTACCATACAGCGGGGTTGACCTATGACCAATCTAGCATGGTGGTCTGGGCAATGTCTGTTTGGAAACAGATGTAGTCCATATCAGTTGGAATAGAAAGTTGAATTTCATCTGGAGTATAGTGAAGAGTGGCACAGAGTTTACAAATCAAATCATGGCCAAGTTAGTTCAGAGGACAGGTGGAGAGGACAAGGAATGAATGTCAGGTTGCACCAGCAATAGGAACTGGAGTTATAGCGGGAGCTGTTGTATGGTGACTGGAAATTCCAACAATGGGTGTAGAAAAAAAAACAAAGCAATGGTACATCTGGAGGGGCTCACTGAGAACACTGTAAGTTGCCCTCGTGTCTACAAGAAAGGATGTTTTCTGGCCCCCTACTTGCATTTCCACTAGTGGCTCTGGAGTTTTATACAGGGGCCCACCTCTAGGACATCTTCATTCTTCCATTTGGGTCATTTGGGATGAGCCAGCCATGCCCCGCTGGCCCAATCTTCTGGTGACTGGGTATACCTAATCTGTGGGTTAACTGATGGGGCGTGAGGCTGGACAGGGCATGGATATCAGGATCCCTGAACATAAGAGGTTGCGAATGGATTTAGGCAATTTGGTTGTTGGGAAGATCACTGAGGACAGGAATTTTTCCAATGTCCTTCTTGGCGACAATAAGTGCACTGATTTGTACCGAGGTTAGGGCCTCACAGAGGTTGAAGCAACGTCGGAGGGAGAGGGCGTAGAGCAGCAACCCAAAAGGCAGCTTGTTTCTTCATCTTCTGTTCTTCTTTACAATCCTTTGCCTCTTCCTGTTGATAGTAAGTCTGGGTAGCAGTCTGAAGAAGAACATCCCTTGGCTGGGCTGTGGGAGTTGTCAGTTTCCTGATATCAGGACTGCTCTGGCTGACAAAGGCAAGCTTGATTGTGGGACCATTGCCCTCTTTACCAGGGTTGATGTCTGTATAATGTCGGAAGCCATATTTCAACTGGGTTAAAAACTCAGCCTGTCACTCCCCTGCCTTTGTTGGGACTAGACCAGAAGCAGATTCAGTAATGTCTCGCAAATGCTCACTCAATCGCATGGGTATTTTCTGGCCATGCCCCTCATGGGTGACAAAAACACATACAGTACTCAATCCTCAGAAACACTCGATCGCCCGTGTGGACTTCTCTTTCTTTCTGAGACTTTCTTATACTCTCCCCACTCCCTCTCGTATGCCGGCTGCTCACCAAGTTGCTTTAGTTTCAGAATGATCAGTCATCTTGGTTCCCTAACACAGTGGTTCTTAACCTTGGGTTACTCAGGTGGTTTTGGACTGCAGCTCCCAGAAGCCTTCACCACCAGCTGTGCTGGCTGGGGTTTCTGGGAGTTGCAGTTCAAAAACACCTGAGTAACCCAAGGTTAAGAACCACTGCCCTAACAGATCTCCATGGTCGCATTCACGGCGGCTGTGCAATGTTCTCCAGTCGGTGGGAAAACAGCTCCCCTCCGGCAACGTCGCTGGTGCGCGCTGGGGATTCTGATTCATGGCCAACCAGTTTTCACTGCAGCTGGGTAGAAGGCGATGTGGCCGTAAGGCGGCACACCTTTTCTGGTGGGCTTTTATGCCTTCGAGCTCCACGCTGGGTGCCAGAAAATGTAGAGGCCTGTTCCTCAAACCTGCCTTTTACGAACCAATCCCTAAGAGTCAATAAGAGATTGAGTCGGGAGATCTGGAAAATGTTTCTTTAATCAGCTGAGCAAAGCCACAGGTGGACAGTCTCTTTTGAAACTGTCGTGCTTACAAACAAGAAATCCCCCTTTTTATACCCTTGAACAGTTGTACTTTCCCCCCTTGTACCGCCCATTCTCCTGGCCCCTCCCTTCTGTCTATCACATTCTTACAACCTCCTGATCATGAGTGGACAGTTGCTCACCACCCCCACCCAGTTCTGTTTGCACATACATAGTCCATCATGGAGTTACTTTGGCTCCCTTCATAGCTTTATAGACTTAGTGGATAAAGGATTTGGATGGGCCAGCTACATGAACCCAAAGATTGTGTTTTAAAAGACATGTTCTAACACTGTTGTTACAGCAGGAAGTCAAATATTTAGAAATTTAAACTCAGCATACCTTCAAAATAACAATGTCCAAAAAATGGGAATAAGGGAAGGTGTAGAGATAATGTGAATACAGTGGTTATTTTTTATATACTAATAATGAACCCAAAGCATTCTTTTGTTGTCTTTCTCTCTCTCTCTCTTAGGCTTCTTTGCTCCCTTTTCAAGCATGTGTACCCCAAATCATCATATTTTTGTCAAGAAAAGCATAATCTCAATCAACAAAAGCACCACTCCAGAGTCAAGAGTCTTTTAGGGGTTTTTAATTTTTACTGATTGCTCTTTACCAATTAAAGGCTGTCATGTCTCTGCTTCTAGCAGGTGCTCTTTGCGGGTGGGGGGAGGTGAGGGACTGTCTCCTTCTAATCTGTATTTAATAACGTGAACCAGCAAAATGTAGAAAATTGCTGGCATTTTTGGAAGGCCGTAAGAATAGCAAGTGGGTATACCTTCCTGTTCTTTCTTTCTTTGTTCATGTCAGAAGCACCACAGTACAATCAAAAACTATATCAGATAATTTTGGCCCAATAACAGGCAACCTCAAGAGCATTTGGGGCAGTTAGAAACGAATTTTCTAAGTACATATTGATGGGCATAGAGTACCCTGACATAGACGTGAAGTTCTCTGTTCTTTTCTGTACTCACAAAGGACTGTATTGGTTTTAAAAAAAACACCGAATTTTTTTCTTGGGTTCCCTTTGGTTCTACCAACTCTGTTTGGTAGCCTATTAAGTGGCTTCCAGGTAAGCCAATTCTCCATATGACCAGGGGCTAGACTTTCCTGGAGTTCCATCCATTTTAGGAGGTAGGGGCTTTTCTTTCTTTCTGCATTACCCTCCTGGCATTCTCTGCCGTCCCTTCAAGATCTACAGATGTTTTGAAACAACTTTCCCTTGTTTTTACAGGATGGTAGCCAGGGAGTGGATGCATTTTTGATGTTGATGCTTTGAGACTTTCACTATTAGTTGCTACCTCTCTCTGTACGTCACTGGATGCAATCCCTGCTAAGCAAATGATTTTATCAATAGGGGCTGGCTTCAGGCATCCATAAAGATTATTCAGCTTTCAATGCTATATCTACCTGTTTTCCATGGACTGAACTGTACCAAACCGGTCTGGCGTGTTCAGCTGTGGAGTAGCATAGGGCGAAGGCTGTAGCTGTTTCTGTTTGTGTCCTCCAACTGGTTCCTGATAGCGTTTGAAGGATATTGCTTTTTACAGAGACCCTTTCCTCTGTATTTAGGCAATGTTTCCTATAAGAAATGCATTACTGACCAGTCAAATGCAGAAATTTCAAGTCATTCTAAAGCTTTATGACATAGCTCTATATAGCCTACCTTGATTTGACCACAATCTCAGATTCACATCTTGTTATGAGTTGGACATGAGCATTAATGGTTTCTTTTGAAAATAAATTTGTTTATACAAAATGTGGCTCCAATACACTTTTGCTTTATCTTTCAGATCATTCTCAATGGCTGACAGCCAAGAGAACTGAAATAGTGTCACAGATGCCATTTGGTTAACAACAGTGGCTTTTCAACTTATATTTTGGTCTTGCCAAGTAGACATGCCATGTTACTCAGTTTCTGCAGTTTACATGCCTGCTAAGGGGAAACTCGTCAACCAAATAAGGTGTATAGCTTACAAACTGGGTGTTTGTGAGAAAGATTTCTGGCAACTGTAAACCAGCCCAGGAATGTGGGTACTACCAACTGCTTAGCAGACCATGGTTCGGCGAGGGCTAGTGGCATGGCTCCCTCGGATGGTCATTTTCCTGGTGGCCCTCTGTTGCACAGTATCAGTGCTCTACATGCTGGCCTGCACTCCAAGAGGTGACAGTCGGCAGCTTGCCTTCCCCAGAGTCAATAGCCCTACAGGAAAAGAAGAGTATCAGGCAATCCTACAGGAGAGGGAAGAGCACCACTGGGACTACATCAACAGTCTGAAGAGGCAGATTGCTGAGCTGAAGGATGAGCTCCAAGAGAGAAGTGAGCAGCTGAAGAACATACAGGGCCACAGTACTGACTCCCTGGTAGTAGGCACAGATCAAGGGAATCTTGAGAAGCCTCAGAAAGCTCTCTTGCAGTTCCTACATTCCCAAATGGAGAAAGCTGAGATCCATACTGGTATGAAGCTGCCAACAGAGTACGCTGCTGTGCCCTTTGAGAGTTTTACCCTGCAGAAAGTGTACCAGTTGGAGATGGGATTGACGCGTCACCCAGAAGAGAAGCCGGTGCGGAAGGATAAGCGGGATGAGTTGACAGAAGCCATTGAATTGGGTGTGGAGACTTTAAACAGTCCAGTGAGCAACAGTGGCTCAAATCGTCGGATATACTCCACCTCTGACTTCATAGAAGGTGTGTATTGTTGAAAGTCAATCTGTATTTGGAGGGAGGTGGATGACAGCTGGAATAGTTCATGGTCAGGTCAGGTGAAGGAATTATTTTCCATTGTCATAACTCCATTATTAAACCTCCAGGCTTATCGTTGAAGAACAACAACAACAAAGGGCCAAGGGAGGGGGAAAGAAGGATAACATGCATACAGGATCTACATGGTGTGAGAAATCACTCTATTCTAGATCTATTTACAGTTTTTGTATATCAGTTCAAGGACTCAGTTGGATCCTAGCCATTATCTGGAAACAAATCTAGATTTGCTTTTATGTAGGACGTTGCAGCCAGTCTTTCTGATTAATGTGTGTGTTTCATCCAACTTTAGGATTTAAATACATAATGGATGAAATCCTGTCATACAACTCTGATGAGTATAAATGTTAATCATATCATCACCTAGGGCTGTTAATATTTATTTTATTTTAATTTAAAACTTCCTCTCCTCCCTGCCACCTTTCAGATTCCGAGGCTACCTAGGGATCCCGTTTGCCCTGGGGAAGCCTTTGGGAGTCTTGGGATGGGGGGTGGGGCATCTTTAATATTGGGAAGTCACCGCTGGAATTGGGAACTATCAGAATTCACTACTAGAGGGAACCAAGAATATTTCCCTGTATTTTGTGAGGTGAGTTTTTCCTGGGGAATAAAGATAATGATAATTCAGCAATCCCAAAGTAATGAGCAATATAACTTGCTCATTACTTTGGGATTTCTGAATTATCATTATCTTTATTCCACAGGAAAAACTCACCTTGCAGTTTTGGTAATTCATTGATTTGATTTTTAAAGAATGTTGACTTTTAACACTGGCTTTTGAATTGTTTTAAATCTGATTTTAAGGACTGCTTTTATCTTTTTATGGTTGTGCATTGTTTGCATGACTTCTCATGGACTGAGAAGCAGTAAATAAATGCTTATAGAAAATCAGAAAGATGAGATAAGGCTATTTGCTTCCTCCTAGTTGCTCCCTTTCCTGTGAATCTTCTGAGTGGAAATGCTACATGCAGGACAATTCCATACAGTTTATGCCTGCTTAAAAGTAAGCCCCACAGAGTGCCGCATTACTTACCCTGAAATAAGGGTACCCCAAGCCTGAAACACTGCTAGATTTGCTACCCATTTGGGAGAAATCTGACTAAAATTGTAACCCTTTTCAGAAGTTACTTTCTAATTGTTGGTTTCCCTCCACTTTCCTGACAGGCATCCATCGAACAGAAAGAGATAAAGGCACCTTGTATGAACTGACGTTCAAGGGAGACAAAGCATATGAATTCAAGCGGATTGTTCTGTTCAGACCATTTGGCCCCATCATGAAGATTAAAAGTGAAAGCCTCAATATGGCCCACACTCTTATTAATATCGTAGTGCCCCTGGCAAAGAGAGCCAACAAATTCCAGCAGTTTATGCAGAATTTCAGGTGGGTATGGATGCAGAAGCAGAAGAAAGCAGCCTTTAAACAGAAGAGGGGGGAAAATAACATTTAACACCAAAAGAATATCAGCTATTCAAAATGAATCACTTCTGCATTGAGGGTTTTTGGACACTGTATATAATGTGGGAGCCAGTTTGACGCAGTGGCTATTATTGGACTAGGACTCTCGAGATGTACAGTGTCTTCCCCAATCAGCCATAGAAATATATGGTGGGGTGTCAATAGAAAACCACTCTGCAAATATTTGATATGTCTCAAAAACCCGGTCAGGGTCACCGTAAATCAGAAGTGACTTGATAGCAAGTAACAATGAAAAGATAATACAGTATAGAGCCATGTGGGTTAGGAGTCTGACTTGCTCCCAGTCTAGAGTTGCCTGGTCTCTGGGTGCTGGTTAGAGTCTCAAGGAACTGGATCTCCAGATAGGAAGACAAATCTCAAAGCAAGCAGCACTAAAGGAAGAGAAAGTCAGGGGTGGGGTTTTTTTTTGGGGGGGGTAGCTTTAAAACATGGGCATCCATCTCCATTTGTTCCCAGCTGGCAGGCAGTGAGCTTCCTCTGGTGTGGTGTTTCTCCACATGGCAGGTGCTGTAGTTAAGTCCATACGGAGTGTGAGCCCCAGGAAGAAGGTCAGCAACCATCAAAATAAAAAGGATTTTGCATCTCCGTCTAGATCAATAGGATTAATATCAGAGAAAATCTGTTTAGAACAAAGCTGTTAAGTAAAACTATGCCACATTTTTTTCCTAGTAAGTCTGATCTGTGAGGCAAACCTTGCATCTCCAGAAATGCCCTTTGCTTCCTTGTTCTCTGCCATCCCCCACACATTTTTTTTCTGGTGTTACCTCTGTGTCCACAACACGGGGGCGACTACTTTGCCAAAGAATGTGGGAAGCACTCTGAGATTGGGATGATTAGATTTGCATTATTTTTGTTGACTTCTCAATGTACAGTACACGTCAGTACAAATGAGCCCAGATTTTTGTCCCCTAGTCTGTACTTGTTTCCTCCATTGCTGGGGCTTCTGCTTTTTTCACCTGAACATTCACTTAAGCTGAAACATTGGGTGACCAGAAGCAGACTCTCAGCTTCCTCCTTGCAGCTGAGGAGAGAGGAGACAGTTGTGGGAGAATCAGTTAACTGAGAGCACTCCTTGTATCCAAATAGCTTTTTATTAAAAGGCTTGATTCCAGCACTGTTGCACTAAAGCAGCTAGGAGGGAGGGAGGGATGATGATGAGGAGATGGGGAAGGAAATCAGCAGAGAAGGAAATTGGCAGCCTGCCTTTGTTTACAACTTTTTAAGGTAACTCTTCTGTAACTGTACAAATCCGGCTGGCTGCAGAAGAGCCACCTTAACAATGTGCTAACAAGTGCAGACTGGCAATTTCCTGCTCTATCTCTGCTGACTCCTATGTGATCCTCAAATGCAAATTCACTTAGGAAAACCCAATTTCCTGGGTGCAAACTCACAGTGGATTACTTTGCATTTTTCACGCTGCATAGTTGTAGCCTTAAACAAGTTCTTCCAGAAAAAGTATTGTAGAGTTCAATAAATTCTAAACAATAGTTTCTTCTAGATTAACTGCAGTTTTTGATATGGCAGAAGATATATAGGACAAGCCCTACATGAAGACCAAAAGAATAAACAAGTCTGGGAAGCAAACATAGCACTGTTGTGCTCTTGTCTTTTTTGTGTGTGCGTTTTTCATGCAACCACTGGCTGCAGTATGAACAAAATGCTAGAGAATGAGGAGGGTCTTTGTCTGATCAAGAAGGGATGTTCTTTGAGCTTGATGGAAATTTGAAGAAGCATACTGGTATGGCTGAAGACACAAAATTCACAGTCAATATATCTTTCTGAGTGGTAACGTCTAGTAAATGTTCATGAACCTCTTCGCATTTAAAACTGAACAAATGAATGAAGAAAAAGGGAAATGGTTATGACTAGACCTGGCTGGGGCATTCTGGGAGATGTAGTCCTGAGAAATAACCTTTTCAAGTTATTATTGGTTTATTAACACACCTTGTTTCAGAGTTGAAAGTATGGCAGGCTAGTGCATAGTGCAATGGTTATTGGGCTAAAACTTCCAGATGCTCTTACCACTTCTTGTGCTGGCCAGGATTTCTGGGAGTTGTAGTTCAAGGACATCTGGGAACCACTGGCATACAGTAAATGCATCCATCAGGAAGAGGAGAGCCTTTGGAAACATACCATAGCATTAGAGTGGATATTCAAGTGCAAATATTTTAATATTTTAATTGCCATTGGCAATGGTGCGGCTAAAAAATATTGTTTAGAGTGGATATTCAAGTGCAAATATTTTTAATGCAAATATTACAGTTATAGTTATGCAAAAGTGTTCGATAAATAAATAAATAAATAAATAATGCAAATATTACAGTTATAATTATGCAAAAGTGTTCATATTTTCAGTTGTGAAAATTTTAAAGGAAGGAAGCTAAAGACATTTACATTTCTTCCAGAGAAATGGGCATACAACAAGATAAAAGAGTTCACCTCACTGTAGTTTACTTTGGGAAGGAACAAATGAGTGAGGTCAAAAGAATACTGGAGAATACAACTAAGTGAGTATACTATATGTTGTGATGTTACTATGATAGTACTTGTCAAAATGTCTTCTCACATCTTTTTATTAGTATTTTTTTAAAGAGAGAGATGGTGTAACTGAAGCTTATCTGAAAGTTATTGGTTGTTTAAAGCTGAAAAACCTGCCTGCCCAGTAATACAACTGTCATATGAACTGGCTGTGGTTTTTTTAATGATGAGAAGAAACAACCCTGCAATCAGCACATGTCCAAGACACTCCTTAGTTAAAACAATGATACAGTAACAGGTTGTGGCACCAAGTACTGCAAGTCCTGGGACACATTCCTAGGACAATAGGAATGCTCTCACATGTGTTGTGAAGGAGATACACATGGGTCTGGTGATTTTCATAAAGAAGATGAAGGCCAGCATCCTGGTACAGTAGTGATTTGCATGTGTGTAAGTTAAATTGCATGTGGAGGATTGCTTACTAACACAAGGCACCGACCACATTAATCAGTGTATACACATCTTGTGCATTGATAAGCCAGGGATCCTGGGTTAGTAAACCATGATGCAAACGAACTGCTTGCTTATATGCACAGGCTGTTTGTTCCTGGCTCACTCTTCCCTCCTTGCAAGTGGTTGGAGGAAACTAGAATACTGGCTTATTTAAGGACATCGGGCATAACCCTCAGTTCAGACATCAAAATAAATCTGTACTCATAAGCCAGCAATAACCCCAGTTTTAAACCATTGAGAGTGAAGCCATTCTGTCTCTCTATGAACCAAAACTTGTGTGAGGGCTAGAAGTCATCATAACACATTCACCAACATTATAGCTCATAGTGTTCTTGGAAGAAACCATGACAACAGCAAAGAATATTGGACAGGACAAGACTTGGTCTGATCCAGTAAAGTTTTACATTCTTACAGAAGACTATATAGTTGATCCTCCGTTGTTGTAGAAGACAATTTTCACCAGATTCCCTATGGGGAAGGGGGAATGTGCTACAGAAGACTGCATGCTCAGGCTTAATTGAAACAAATAAGTTATACCTGAACTGTTTAGGGCCCCTAAACACAAAGTGTTGCTTTGTAAATTTAGAAGACATCTCTAGCCTTGGTCCCTGATGTAAGTAGAAAATAAGGCTCATCAGCCCATCACTGCTGCAGAGGAATTAAGGCTTCATTTTTAAGTTAACTGTGATGTAGAGAACAAGGCCTAATGAAATTAGTGGGGTTTACATATTCAGGCCTTTAGCCTGCCATGAGACTTTGATTTTACCTCGGGATGGAGGAATGCTCATATTTGGTACACAACTGATAAACTTTTCTTTGTTTCTTAAAGGCAATAGGGACAAATAAAATGTACATTTCATTCCTCCTTGCAGATCAGCCAATTTCAGGAATTACACATTCATCCAGCTGAATGAAGAATTCTCAAGAGGGAAAGGCCTGGATGTGGGGGCACGATTTTGGAAAGGAAGCAACGTTGTTCTGTTTTTCTGCGATGTGGATATATACTTCACCGCAGAATTCCTCAACACATGTAGATTGAACACACAACCAGGTATAACTGTGCCTAGATATGAAGCTTGGTCTTTCCTGATAACAAATGAGACAGAGCAATCCTATGGTCTGAATGACAAAAAGTAACCATTAATGTCGGTGCAATGTCAGCCTGACAGGACCCTGTCAGCAATAGAGTTGAGAACAAAGTGTTGTCTCTTTAAACAGAACATGACAGCTCTAGAAGTCACTGGCAACCATTAATTGCACAAGAGCTCACAATGAATCAATTCATATAAACTGCAAAGGAAACATGCTTGTACCTAACATATGCAGAAGGGAAACTTAATTGTACATATGTATTCGCGAAGGCTTTCACGGCCGGGATCTAATGCTTGTCGTGGCTTTTCAGGCTCTTTGGCCGTGTTCTGATTGTTCTTCCTAACATTTCACCAGTCTCTGTGGCCAGCATCTTCAGAGCACAGAGTGCTGTCCTCTGAAGATGGTGGCCACAGAGACTGGTGAAACGTTAGGAAGAACAACCTTCAGAACACGGCCAAAGAGCCCAAAAAACCCACAGCAACCATTACTTGTACATACTTGCCCTCACATATGCACAAGGCAAAATGTGCCACACATGAAGGCAGCACAGTGCCCTCCATAGCCTCAGATATTCTGGGGAGGCAGCAGAAGGAATCTAGCACAGTGGTTCTTAACCTTGGTTAACCAAGGTGTTGTTGAACTGTAATTCCCAGAAGCCTTCGCCATCTGCTGAGCTGGGTAGGGTTTCTATGAGTTGCAGTCCAAAAACACCTGGGTTACCCAAGGTTGGGAACCACTGATACAAGGTGCACCAGGAATCTCTGTAAGTAAGTATGTGAATCCCATCTCTTTATATTACAGACAACGGAGGCAAACTAAATATATTTAGTATGTTTTTTAGAAGAGGTGCTCCCTCAAGTTGGTAAAGATATCTGTTTGCCGTAGCACATAATTTTCCTCTGCATGTTGCATTTACCATGGTTTGTTTTGTGACTGGTCACTGGAAGATGAACGGAGACATAATATACTAGTCAGATAGCTGAGGCATGCATCTTTAAGGGAATTCTGTTCTGAGTCAAAAAAAAGACATTAGGACTAATTGTAAGGAACATACAACCATGAGAATCTTACAATGTGCGAATCTTCATAGATATACAATCACTTTAATGTTTCATTTGACACAAGCTGCAAATAAGTTCTCATTTAGTTGACCGGTATGCAGAAAAGACATTAGGACTAATTGTAAGGAACATGCAATCATGAGAATCTTTGAATCCTAGAAGAAGAAATAATAGAATTGGGGCCCAAACTGCAAATAAGTTCTCATTTAGTTGACCGGTATGCAGAGAAGGAAGGACAGGACAGGACAGGACAGGACAGGACAGCACACACACACACACACACACACACTCACTCACTCACTCACTCACTCTCTCTCTGTGTAGGCAATAAAGGAAGCCGTAACTTCCCTCTTAGAGAAGCAAACTCCATTAGCATATTGGACAGTGCCCTGGAATGGGAAATCATGATTCCAATTTGAATCCTAGAAGAAGAAATTATAGAATTGGGGCCCAAACTCAACTGTTGCATGTTTGGCAAAGAAGCATCTATGGTGGTGGGAAGCAATCACACCTTGAACATTTGGTAGAACATTAGCAACTGAAGCACATTAGAAAACAAGAATGGTAGTGGACACTGAGCATCCCCTACTCATCAGAGCATTGATTCAGATATATAGGTCAGCTCACATGCACTATGTGAGTCGCATGTGGGATTAATTGAGTAAACATCTGGACAAAAAGAGTTGCATGTAGTCCCCCAAAAATCAGTTGCAACTCTCAGGTATTAAAAGTAAGACTGACAGCAGTGCATAGGCTCTGTCATATCATTCCTCATATCACCGATACCTAGTTTGGAACACTGAAGTAACACAGCTGTAACTACCAACTTTGCTGCCCTGTTGGTGAGAGGGGCACATGTGGAGTGAGAACAAAGGAATGGACAGGAGTGTGTGGGTCTGAGTGTGGGTAGGCTCTATTAATTCTGCACTGTCAGCCTGTGTTTTCTTCAGTCTGAAATGGAGTATCTGAGCAAGGGGGACACAGTTGGGATGAGTGGGTTTATGCCCTTCCAATGCCACGTTTCAGCACCCAGGGTCAAAACCCTGGTCGTCTCACCGTAGTTACAGCGCTCTCTAGAGCAGAATACATACCTTTATGTGTGTTTTTTCCCCCCTTAGGCAAAAAAGTATTCTATCCCGTTCTTTTCAGCCAGTATAACCCAGGCCTAATTTATGGGCATCACCACTCCATTCCACCCCTTGAACAGCAACTGGTAAGTGAAAGGCTTTTTATAACATTCTTAAAACGAAGAAAGACCAAGAGTTCAGTAATATTTGCAATATAAGGTCTCTTCTGGACACTGTACTATCTGTGGTAGCACAGGTAACAGCCGTAACTAGGAGGGCAGTTTAGCATCTAAAAATCATTTGGTAGCTGTAACTGTAGCTACACAACATGGCCTCAGTAGTGAATACATTGGTTATGTCATGAATTTACTGGTTACAATCAGATTGGAATACTATAATACACTCTATGTAAGACTGTTTTTGAAGATCATCTGGAAGCATCCGCTGGTGCAGAGGAAAGCCCCATTGGGGCCAGACTGCCAGTACATGTTACACCAACTTGGTACTAGCTGCTGTTTTAGCCTTTAAAGCCACCAAGAGAGGTCACCTTGTTTGAAGGCAGCTGGTGTCCATATGGATCTGCCTGGGCTCTGAGACAATGTAGGAGGCCCTGCCCATTGGCTGAGTGCCCACTCAGTTAGAGCATTTGGACAAGCTGCTAAAGCCAATTTGATTCAAATGACAATAACTGACACATTGTATTGGTTACACTGGTGTTTTATTCAAGTTTCATAATTGTGACTTTAGGAAATTTTCTTTTTGTTGAGATGCTTTTTAATGAATTCTACTGGTTATGCTGGCTATGGTATTCTAAGTGTTGTAGTCCCCCCAAAAATAAATTATTTCCTAACCAGAATGTGTAAAGTAAGAGTTAGAGCACAATTAAAGAATGGGAAGAAGGAAATAGCAGAGTATGAGCTGAAGCAGAGAACACCTGTTTAAATTATCTTTGCACATGTAGTCACAAACAAATATGTTTTTGTTTCTTGCAGGTTATAAGAAAGGAAACAGGGTTTTGGAGAGACTTTGGGTTTGGAATGACTTGCCAATACCTCTCTGATTATATCAATATTGGTAATTATGTGTGTGTTGTTGGTAATTATGTGTGTGTAGATGGGAAACCTTGACATATGAGCGCTCAGCCTGGAGGCAGGCAGTGCCTCATGGCCTCTCCCATTTTGAAGAGACCCTTGTCCAGCGGGCCGAGGCGAAGAGGCAGTCCTGAAAAAACCAGCAAAATCAGGGAGCTGGACAGGGGACAGATTGTATTTGTCTTCAGTGTAGAAAGGATTGTCACTTTCGTATTGGCCTTCTCAGCCACACTAGATGGTGTTCCAAGACCTCCATTCAGAGCACGTTACCATAGTCTCTCGAGACTGAAGGATGCCTAATCTAAGGTCCCATTGTGCCAGATTTCTCTTCCTTTTCCTTTGGCACACTTGAGCTTTCACCCTTGACCCTTGATGCCTCCAAAGCAGAACCATGTTGTACTGTTCTCACATTCAGGAGGTAGGGCAATGAAACTGGGAACCTTTATCGAGTCTGGCTATTTATCTGAGTTTCAGTGATTTATCTGAGTTTCAGAAACTTCTATTGATTTTTCATCAGTGGGCTGCTGATTTGTGGGTTTGGTTTAAAAATTTTGAATTTGTGGGGGTTTTGGATTCTGAAAGTTGTAGTCCAAAACTTGCAGCCTTCTAAATTCCACTATTGCAGCGTGGGTGGCAGGATGGGTCTACCATTAGATCCAGGCATGCTTTTCTTTCCTTTATAATCATTTCTTATTCTTTTTTTTTTCTGTAGGAGGATTTGACCTGGACATTAAAGGGTGGGGAGGGGAGGACGTCCACCTGTACCGCAAATATCTTCACAGCAACCTCATTGTGATCAGGACCCCTGTACGAGGCCTTTTCCATCTCTGGCATGAAAAGCATTGCTTAGATGAGCTGACCCCAGAACAGTACAAGATGTGCATTCAGTCCAAAGCGATGAATGAAGCCTCACATGGCCAGCTGGGGATGCTTGTCTTTAGGCATGAGATTGAAGCCCATCGCCGCAAACAGAAAGCAAGCAATAAGAAGACTTGAAGCCAAAAAAATAAAAAATAAAACATCTTCTTTGATAACGGAAACCAAGAACCTCAAAGACAAACTTAGCAGGGAATTCTAAAAACATATCTTGGGGATTTATAATGCTCGTTAATTGCAAGGTTCCAATTTCATATTGACGTTCCTCTGATTCTCCTGGCTATCATGCTTCATTGGTGTCATTAAGGCATAGAGAATGGACATTCATTTTTTACAATTGTTTGATACTTGAAATACAAACAAGATGGTATTTCAGTGTTGATTGCCGTACGATGGAACTTTACAAAGCTTTACTTTTTATCAGGTGGGTAGTTGGGTGTTCCTGAACTACTCTCACTGAGAGCCTGTCCAGACAGGTATATAGCTCACTATTTGGATTGCTTTTGGTATGGTTTGATTCAAATCCAGTTAGGGCATCCATGTGTGTTTTGACTTAAGAGTATTCCATTCTGCCTCTTATGAGAGCTGTCCCACTCCTTTTTGGCACAGCACTAGGGCTCTTGATTTTTTGGTATGATTCAGTGCATTCCTAATTATCCCATTGTGTATTCTGTGTGGATGGCTAATTCACCCCTAAATGGAGCTGTGGGTGAGGTTATCTCAGGTGACAGCCCTGTGACATATTAGGTGGCTTGTGACCTTTTAACGGATAATGGGAAACCTCTCTTTCATTTTCATTTTCTCTACCACTTTATTTTTTAAAAAACATTTTCCTATCAATGGAATTATTTTCTTTAGATACGTTGGTGATATTATGTGTAGCATGCTAGGTAGATACATTGCTGTTTTGCTATGTCACTTTATTTAACAATAACAAAAAAGGAAAGTCAACATAGCCCACTGAATGACGGTCATGGAAAAAGCTGAGAAAGGGGGTTATGTTGGCCCCCACCCCCAAATTCATCAATAGATGACAGAATCTCTCCTTCCCTTCCCTTTCCTCCCTTATTTTTGGCTTAGTGTTTGCTTGAGGGGGAGGAAATGTGTAGAAAGTAAATAAAAGCAGCTGGGAAAACCAGCTGGATTGGAAACTGGTTTTCCATGACCAACCCCTCCACACACAGAGACCCCTTTAGGTCATCTACTCAGGCTTCACCACTACAAGGTAGCACAACCCAAGCAAAGCCCCAGCTAAGGAAAGATAAGGTAACTTCCCTACCACCTCCCCAACCTTCAAAATGTTGCCCTCACACTCTTAGTGCCACTCTCTGCTGCTGCCGCCTCATTACTCACAAAGAAACTGTAAGCCTTCCTTATGAGTAAACCAGCAATCCAAGGGCCTTTCTGGACTTTTCTCACAGGGGAATAGATATCTCTATGTGAATGGAAGTATTGCTCAAGTGTGAGACAAGATAGATCACACTGAAGATACAAACCTTTTAAGACAGAACCAGAGCACTCCAAATTCACCCATCTGAACAGGCCCTAAGTGAAATCACAGGAAAGATCTTTGAAGAAACTAAGGCAGAGTAACTGCTCAAAGTAGATAGATAACTGATAAAAGCCATGTGCCACTAAGGCAGAGTAACTGCTCAAAGTAGATAACTGATAAAAGCCATGTGCCGGCTCTAGATGTGGCCTGTTCCATATGTTCAGTACTCCTGGATAAGAAAGCACACCCATATCTGTGTCATGATCATCAATCCAATTCAAGGGGGGGATGATGTATCAGCACTGTAATACATGTGATCCATATCAGCTGCACAGTTTTCTCTGACAAATCAGCTAATAACAAAGCTATCTTGCTGGACTAGAACCCTGAGGGGCACTAATTTAAAGAAAAGAAAGAATTATTTTATTCTTATGTACCTTTGGCAAAGTTTGAAAATTCAACATGGTCCAAGTCAAATAGTGGCCAAAACCTGTTCTTAGCATGGTCAATTGCATTAGAGTAAGCACATTGAATCAATGGAGGTTTGGTGAGAAAACTCCTCTGTAAGTTCCATTGACTCAAATGGCCCTACTCTGTGTTAAAGTGTGATAGAACTCGAGCCGGCCCTTTTGAAGCAATGGAATTTACAGAGGAGCTACCATAATTCACGAAACCTCCATTGATTCAGTGGGCCTAATTCAATTAAACTTACTACGTTAAGCAACAAGATTTTGACTGTTGTATTCAAGCATAAGCCAGATAGACTGATTGGGAGATAATTGGTATTCATTTTTTGTCATAGAATACCAGGAAATAAGGATTTCTGGCAGCTAGAATGCTAATTGATCAGAAAATAAGAAGTGAAACCAATTAACACACTGCTAAATGAGAGAGTCCCACACTATTAATTGTAATCCCTCAACCAAAATTACAAAAAGCCATATTGTGTGAATGTCTGTGAATTCAGAAAACACAGTATATGATACTCCCTTGTTTTGAGGTATTATCAGGGTATCATTTTTGTTTCTTTTCTCAACAATGCACTTTGGAGTCTGTGTCACTTTAACTGTACTGTAAAAACTTCCTGAAAAGTAGCACAATGTAACTTAGTAGCTGGAGATGTTGTGAATGCATCTCACTTTTTCCAATGAATTTGCAACTAAATCTGAAGTGTGCCTCTGATCTGGCATCTGTCTCATGAAAAGTGATTGGAATGACTTGCTTCATAATCATTATAAGAGATGATTAAGCAGGAGCAGAATATTCCTTCGAGAAGACTCTATAATCACTAGAAGTTGACAAGACCTTTTCATTAGGGAAAAAACTGCCTAGGTTTTATAAGTTAAAAGAACTAACATCTTTAGCTGAGTTGGGGGAGGGGAAACCCATTCTGTGCAAATGTATAAAAATAAGTGAAATAATGAAACAAAGAGCAAATATATGATGTAAGAGAAGAACAGAAGCAATTACAAATTCACTTCTGCACCCCAGACCTTGGAAAGTATAAATTAAGGCAACAGGCTTGTAAGCTTCCAACATTTCCTATGATATCATATATTTATAACTTGGGTCTCTTCCAGCTGGAGCATTTGTCATTTGTTCAGTGGTTTTATCAGGTTTCCCCCATGTTTCTCAAATGACATCCCTTCCTACCTTGCTTGCTGCCATTCTCCCCACATCGCACCACTCCAAGTTCACAGATGTGTTTCATCCTAACAAAAGCCTTGCCTTAAGTTTTCTACTTGGAGGCAGAGTTTAGCCCTATGACGTATCTTGGGAATTTCAGTATGAATATGCATTGAGCACAATGAAAGGACCTATGAACTGGTCTGAACAAGAGTGGGCTTTGCTAGGACACTGCGAAATCTCCTGCCCCTGCCCCAGTGAAACCAGCAGCCTTGGGGGTCTCCCACCAATAACTCCATCAGCTCCAGATTGCTGGAACAGGTTGTCTCTATTTGGCTAGAAGCTTTCAATAGCAGTTCCTTGTCACCACACACCCACACACCAGGGGACTGAGTTTCCTGCAATAATCCCCGGGAAACAGTCAGTCTTGTATTGGCATCAGTTCCCATCACTGGTGCCAGTGGTGTCCCAGTGCTAAACAGAACCAGTCCAGGGCCAGGCTTGGAGCCCTTTAATGAGAGCCAGTTGAGGTGTCTGGCAGTGAGCATTGGCTGCTTTCCTGCTCCTCAAGGAATCTCTTTCTCCTCTTACACTGCCAGTCCCTCAGTGGGGTGGGGTGGGCATTACAGTACTCATTGGGCATCTTGGGCACTATGGAGCTGGTGGGGCAGAAGCCTTCTCCGAGGCTGTTGCAGGCAATGTCTTCCGTCTCTGGCCTCAGTGTCTTGCAACAGGGAAGCCCAGCACTGCTTCCTGCCAGGAGTTGTCCTCTTGCTCCCAGGTCAGCTTAGCCGGCATGCAAAAGAGGAGCTCCAGCATCTCTACTACTGAATCCCAGGTCTTCTCCTCCTCACTGGATGTCACAGGCACAGAAGACCCTGAACCTTCTCCCCCCTCCTTTAGCCCTCCTCCCATCCTGCCAGGTGCTTCACATCATCCCATTCCCTGGAGACCTCTGGGATTTCCACTTCCCAGCCTTCTTGAGAGCCCAGAGCAGCTGCTCCACCAAGACTCTCCGGGAGCTGTGGGGAGAGGACAGACAGCCGGCTTAGGGCAGTGGCAGTGACCCCCTCTCAATCAGGATGCAATTCTGAGGAAATCCTGTTAATTTCTGTGACAGAAAAGGACATAAAACTGAATGTCCTAATGCTCCATCTGGAAAATCCTTTGTCTCGTTATTTTAGTCTTTCACATCCAAATAATGGCACATCACCTGCAAACATAAGCTGTGGCATGTCATGCAAGCAGATGCAAGCGGGCAGCAACATACAAGTGGTGGCTTGTCATGTCCAGTCACATTCGTTCTACACTGTAGACCGGAGGTGAGCAAACTTCTGTGGGCACCTGCAAACATAAGCTGTGGCATGTCATTCAAGCAGATGCAAGTGGGCAGCAACATACAGTCACATTCGTTCTACACTGTAGACCAGAGGTGAGCAAACTTCTGCGGATTGTTAGACTGCAGCTCCCAGCATTCCTCCTCACCACAGGCTGCACTGGCTAACTAAGGCTAACAGCAGTTGCCACCTCTCAGCAGCCCACAATTTTGTCTGCCCCATTGTAAAACATCAAAGAAAAACACAAGAACTTAACATACACAGACCGAAGCACAGCTCTTCCCATGTACACAAGCACAACAACTTGTTACATGTGAACGTGCACTGGCTAACTAAGGCTAACAGCAGTTGCCACCTCTCAGCAGCCCACAATTTTGTCTGCCCCATTGTAAAACATCAAAGAAAAACACAAGAACTTAACATACACAGACCGAAGCACAGCTCTTCCCATGTACACAAGCACAACAACTTGTTACATGCGAATGTGCAAGCACATACAACAGAATATGACATAGGTTTGTGGGAATGCATGGAAAAGCCAGTTATGTGCTATGGGATTCCCCACACAGATATATATGCACTAGCACATTATGCAAAGGCACACATGTACCAGCAGCACTTCACATAGAAATATGATGCACCAGTTTATATGTGAAGCCAAGTGCCACATGAAAGCACATGTAAATGTTGGCAGACTTATGTCATGCACAGAAGCACGTGACACTCAACATACACAGCAGGACTTAAGGAATACACTGCAAGCACACAAGGTGCAGTGTACATGCACACACACATATTTTCTCCTGCTGCAGCAACCTGTTCACTCTGACAGCCATTTCCAATTTGGGAAGCACACTCCACCAATGAAACATCAATCTATGAAACAGACATGTGTCTCAGTACATGCTGATAACATAGTAAAATGCCTGATTGAAACAGGAGTTTTTGACATATAATGCCTTTAAGATTACATAACATATTGTTATCAAGCTTTTAACAGTCATCCTTCCAATATCTTTGAAGACTTGGAATAATATAAACTGCCATTGTGGTAAGTTTGGGGTAGGTACACAGAAGGAGGAGGAAATGAGGAGGAGGAGCTTCCAAACAACAACAACAACAATAATAAAATTAAAACTGCAGTAACCCATCTCTTCTTCTTCAGCAGAATTTTGTGCCATGATAACCCTCATGGTGCAGCCAAATTTTATGCTGATGGAACAAACTCTAGAGCAAAGTCACCAGAACACGAATGACAATGGCCAGATTCTCTTTCTTACTGAACTGGGCATGGCTAATATATCAGCCAAAGGGCTCCAGGCCAATACTTGGCATTCCAGGAACTACGCCATGCCCAGCCAACAAGTTCTCTAAGCCCCAACTAAAATAAATGCTGACAGATCTGGAATATGAATCCACCTACATACTGTATTACACTCCGTTCACAACTTAGAAGTTTGAAAGCACATTCAGTTGGTGATGTGTCTCCTTCTGCGTTTCATGTCTGAGCAACCAGGCTTGCAAAGCTGATGCTTACCTCCTGATAATGAGTCACGAAAGCTAGCAAGCTAATTTGCAAAAGAGAGGCAAAAAGTTCAACCAACAAGCATGTTGTCACTTTCAGGAGTGGCACCCCTAAATGTGCAATGGAGCATTTTGAGTAGCTTGACCCCCAAGTGTAATTTTTCTGTCTTTTTGCACAGTTTATGAAAGAAAGAAAACATAGAAGACCCCTTTGTCCTTTTCTGATCCAGTTCAGAAATACTACACTGAGTGTACGATGAGGGCCAGAAAGCAATGTTACGATGTCATGACTTGAAGAACAACGATATTATGGGCCACACCAGTGACGGGGGCTTAGCACAGACATTGTAGTGACCCAGGTTACTAAGGCAACCAATCTAGCTCAAGAAGTCACCTGACAAGACTAGGGTGAGACTTACAGGGTAAGAATTATAGTAGAGTGTAATATTATGCAGTATAATACAGATCAAACCTCTCATGACAGGTGATTAGGAGATGTGTAGCTTCTGGATGGTAGTTTCTTGTGCCCCAGGAGCAGACAAGGCAGAGACATGATGAGAGCAGTTTGTCTGCTATTGTGGCATCAATACAGCCCACTTAGTTGCTTCTGTGATGTTTCTGTGGATGGCGGGGAATGTAGCTGCCACTCTTATACCATCCTGGGATTTTCTGAATATGGTGTTTTCATATTCAGTAGCATGCTAAACACTGGTAAGACACTGCAGCTATTCTAAACATCTCTCTCCATCCCATAAATAAGCATACTCAGAGTATAGACATCTTCTGCCTGTTACGTTAACAGCCAGTGACCTTAATCCCTGCTTGCTCAGTCTGTGTTCCCTTGTCGTTATGTGTAACCTTTGGAAAACGCCCAGTCTCAAAATGGAGCATCAGTTAAATACAGACACAGATGAAAATACAGGTATATTTACCTGACATATTTTGATGGACATTTAGATAATACTGATAATGAAAGAACAAGGAAATGCAGCAGGATATTTAGAGCCTGTCCTCACAATGTTTTAATCATTCTGTCTTCATTTGGTCAAAGTAATGCTTTCCTCTTGATTAGTGGAGATGATTCCTCACTGAGGAGTGAAAGGAAGAATTAAAACACAATCAAGCAGCAATGGATGTGTTCTGTCCTCTTACGGATGGAGGATTCTGATCCCAGTTCAACAAGCCCTCCAACGTTTTTCAGGCAAGAAGAGCAACTTCCATTTGTGTTTTCAACACCACTTTCTCATACTTAGGATCAGTGATTGAAAGCCCTGCCCAAACGCACAATGCTAATAACTCTTCATTTTCAATGGGCAGTTTTCTTTGCAACAGTGTGTCCTGAACTAGATGCAGAAGAGAAGGACTGTCCCAGGAAAATGGGGACAATATGAAGTACTGTATAATGCAATAGCCTTGGTCTTCGTGCCTTGCTTAAATTCACTTGCAGGGGCTCGTAGGAGCAGAGCGGGTTCCCTGTCTCACAGGAAGCACTGTCGTAAAGAGAGCCTTGACTGTTTCTATGTTTGGAGCTTTCCCAAATAAAATTAACCCTTTCAAGTATTGCTGGCAGCTTCCCCCAGCTTGGTACTCTCCAGGCATACTGAACTCAGTTCCTATCTTCCCACTGGCTGAGGCTGATAGGAACCGTAGTCTAAAAACATCTGGAGGGCTAATTTGCCAGAAATGTGGGTTACACTTGGGAAATTTCCATATGACTTCATTCAACAGCAGTACACGAGGGCAGAATTCAGCCTCAGCAAAGGTACCTGTGAACAGTTTAATAGCACAATTGTCTTTCAGTCATAATAGCTTGATTCTTTTTTTTGTTTGTTTCCTTCAGCATCCTTTGTTCATTTATGTCTTGATCGTGGTTTTGGAGCAACAGTTGCTAGCAGTTCAGACTCATCACTGTTAAGAGCAGCCATCTCTTGTCAATTCATTATCAAACAATCTTGCACCATAACTTTGCAATGAAAGAGGCTGGCTCTGCTTCCATAAAACTGCATCTGCCCATTCCTCCATATGGTAGGTGATGGGAGCCATCAGACCTCACTCAAAAAGATCAAGATAATCAGGTTCCTCACCCTGCTGGTCACAAGGGTATCGCAGGAGCTCCTTCCCCAAAGATGTGATGGGCTCATCCTAACAAAAAGAAAATTATTACAAATGAGAAAGCATCCTTCTAAATTAATCCCCCAAACCATTAAAACCCATCAAAAACCAGCAGCTCTCGGCCTCCTGAGGACTGACTAATATTTGCTGGTACAAAGATGGGGGATGGAATCATGTAAGGTAGCTCAGCTGTCATCACCATATCTTAGTACTGTAAAGTCGGATCAGAGTTTGGAAAAAGTTACTCAGGTAGAACTACATTTCCCAGAATTCCTTAGCTGGTATGGCCAGTGGCTGTGTCATCTCAAGCGATCTAGGAAATATAGTCCAAAACATAACTTTTCCAAGCCTGAGACAGACCTAAGATGTTAAGAACAGCTGTGGCAAGTTTTTTCATCAGCTGAATTTGAGTCCAGCTTTGTAACAGGAATTATGTATAAATTCTTGTGAATGAAATGGTTTATATTAACTATTTACCCTCACTTCATTTCAATCGTTGTCTCTTTCTTATCTTTAAGGCAGTGGTCCCCAACCTTTTCCGAACTACGGACTGTTTGGGGGGAGAGGTCCGTATTTGGGGGAGTGGGGCACACCCCCCCCACACTCACGGGTCAGCAGGGGAGCTCATGGGTGGGCGGGGCACACACTTGCGCATGCATGGGTGGGTGGGGCACGCTTGCAGGTGGGCAGGGCGTGCTTGTGCGTGAGCAGGGTATGCTCACATGCATGCACGAATGGGTGGGCCGTGTGTGCGTGCATGAGGTGGCGGGAGATCTGTCTCCGCAGTCCAGTCCTGCCAAGGCCTCAGAGCAGGGGTTGGGAATCCCTGCTTTAAGGGTCTGTGTTTATTCTTTTGTCTCTGTTTACATCTTTCATCTTGCAAATAAAGCAAAACTGCTCTAAATCAGCACACCTGCTTGGTGGGGCAGACACGCTGAGGGTGGCTGGCAGCCTGCCACCATTTTGACTCACCTTATGATAGTCCACCAGGTCAGCCAGTGTTGAATGCTGCAACTGGTCCACACCAAGGAAGCTGTAGGAATCCCCGGAGGCATCAATCAGGAAGTGTTTGCAGCCTTCTGCTGACAAATATGACAGAACATAACCTCTAATCTTTTCACTGACCCGGATCAGAAAACTCCCAGGCACCAAGCCTCTCAGAAGTTCTTCTGCTTTCTTAGTTGTTAAAATACCTGTCCCAGAAACAAAGAGACATTTATTTATTCATATCCCTCTCTCCTTTCACCCAGACCAGTAACCCTTAATGGGGCTTACAAAAGGATTTAGAAATCCAGATACAAGGGTACATTAGTTATAAAATCAAAAGGTGTGTCAATATTAAAATATAGTAACTTAAAACAATTTGAAACATCTACAAGAACCAAAGAAGAGCAGCATCTGCCATTGAAATTCCTTTCTCTGCAGCCCATTCAGTTGCCAGAAGCTTCCTTGAAGGGAAAGGTCTACAAGGGCAAGGAGGTGGGGTGGGGTGGAGTGGGGAGCTTGGCCTCTCAGGAAAGGCTGTTCCATAGCCTGGGGACAGCCAGCTCAAAGACTTTCATGTCCTTCACAGATGTGCCTGTGGGGGTGGTGTAAGCAAGGGAAGGGACTCACTGGAAGATTTAAAAACCTGCAGAGTTTAGATGGAGAGATGTGGCTCTTCAAATAGCCTAGACCCAAATTAGATAAGCTTTTATAGGCACACTAACCAAAGGCTGAAGAGCTGGATAGCTCAGTGAGATGGAGTACCTGGCCATGGAGCCAGAGTTGGGGAATTTGATTCCACCCCCTCCTCCGTTCTGTAGACAGATCTTGGCTGAAAAAAACAGATCTCCTGACAGGTCCCGCAGCCAGAACATCCCTGAGATCAGCCAGCAGAAGGGGCATATGCCACCACAGAGATATTTCTGCTTTTAAGAAGGGGCTTCAGGCCCAGATTCCCTACACCTTGTGCATTTTTTTTAGTTAGGATTATGGTGAAAGTGATCTCACTATGAACAGTTAACAACTTTCCTTAACTTAGTGTCTAGAGATTTGTTGATCTATAATTCCCAAACATTCTGGGTCATGCAGGTGGGAAAAGATGGAAACTAACTGCAGCACGACTGGATCCCACTCAGTACAGGGCTTACTGCAAATGGGAGGGGGTTGATTTAAACTTACCCTTCCCTTCCCTCTGCCTGAGGGCTAAAACTAACTAACTAACTAACTAACTAACTAACTAACTAACTAACTAACTAACTAAATAAATAAATAAATAAATAAATAAATAAATAAATAAATAAATAAATAAATAAATAAATAAAGCACTGGCTGGCCATGAATGGTTGGCTGGACTCAAAACGGGGCCCAGCACTTACTTGCAAATGGCAGTAGCAACATTTGTCCTGTCTTAAACCTTGTGACAATTGCTACTTGGAAGTAACTCCCCTTAAGCTCAATAGGTCTTGCATAAGAAAGTTTTGCTACTGGGCAAGAAACCCCTCTGGAACGCATCAGAAAAAAGACACCATGTATGAATGGCCTTCTTTTTGGAAAAGAGGAGGAGCCCTTCATCTTCTGAATGGGTGGGAAACAAGTGGAAGGAAGAGGAAGAGGGAGGGCAGACCTATTGGCAATGGGTGGGGGGATGGGGCAAGGAAATATCCAGGCAGCCTTGTATAAGTCATGAAGTCAGCAAAGCAGATTTGTTGTGGGACAGATGCCCTCATTTGGAAGGCAAATGATGTTGGGGGTTTTGCAACCTCACATACTGCCTCTAGTAGGTGTGGCCGGGAGGGAACTTTTTGGGGTGGGGTCTCACTAACAGCATGAACCAATAGTTCCTTCTCTGACGTTGATTCAAAAAGAGACCCTCCAACCGCTCTGCCTTTCCCCCTCTTGGTGGTCTGTTGGAAGCACTGAATCTGATGAAGTTTTTTTGCTGAAAACAGTCATGTTGTTAGATTGCTGTTATCTGTTCACGGTAATGTTTCTGAATGAGTTATTGAGACTGTAATTGCTGATTTATGACAAAAATGGGGTAATCTGGGGGATTTGAAGCTATTCTACTTTGTCAATGCCTGCACTTCCACTGTGCAGATGGAGGAATTCAAAACCCTGCAACAAATAACAATCCCAGTTGCGTTTGAAATCAGCTGACTGACAAATGGACACTACAAGACGACTTCCACCTGGAATTTCCCCTAAGACTTCCTTGCCCGTTGGGCATTAAACTTAATATTTAGTTAAGCTAAACATGCAATACTTGCAAGTGTTTACGCAGCACCCTGCCCTGCCCTCTTCTGTTTCTGGTAAGTAAAGGTTAACCCCCAGAAGTCACAATTCTCCTTTTAAATAGGTCACACAGCACAGTCCCCTGGTCACACAAATCACTCAATAACTCAAAGTAAGCATTTTCAAAATGAAAAGTGGAATTTGGTTTAATGAGTCCCAGGGGAAGAAAACTGGCCACCAGATTTCTGCAAACTGCCCACAGATCTAACCTAATCTGGTGCGGGACACCAAGGAGAACAGTAGTAAACACCAGGATTGGATTTGCAGGTACAAGATTAAGAAAAAGTGAGTACATCGAGATAACCTGCAAGGCAAAATCCCTTTGGGCAGGGGTTCCCAGAACTGGGACCTCCTCAAGAAGAGAAGGCAGAATGCTCACCATGGAACCAAGGTGCAATCCTGTCTGTCGATTTCTCAAAGCCAGCTCGGAGATGGAGTTGTTCCTCCTTGAACCACCGCACAATGCCTTCCTGTGTAGAACTGGAGATGGTTCTTTGGACCGCCTGCTTCCTGTCATGACAAAAGAATGGATGGTTTACAGTTTTTAAAACGTGCCCTGGATTTAACCTTAAAACAAACCATACTTTATATATATATAAACTACACCCTAGCTGTACAAGTGGTCCTGTGCTTTCTAAGACCACTGGCAGCTTTACATGATAAGACTCAACCTACCGTACATTTGGTAGGGAAACTACTATAGGAGATGAAGGGGAGAGAGGGACACAATTATATGGATATACAGTCCAGGGTGACTGGGCATACAGTAGCCAGAAGCAAATGAATTAAAATACATTACAGTTCAGATGTAGTTGGTCTACTCAGCTTTGTTTAGGATGCTCTTTCTCTCCTCCTCACCCCCATCTTAGAGCTTTTGCAGGTGACAGGCATATTAGTATACAGTCTAGTAGGTCTAGCACAGTATTAGTAAGGTCAGTGCAAATACTGGTAGAATGAGTGGGGGAGAAGATTGAAGCCACTGTGTAAGACCACCAAACCTCAAATATACTTTGTATTACTATTTCTAAGGTAAAGCTAAAGGTTCCCTTTGACATTTTTAGTCCAGTCGTGTCCGACTCTAGGGGGCGGCGCTCATCCTGTTTTTCAAGCCGTAGAGCCAGCGCTTGTCCGAAGACAGTTTTCATTGTCACGTGGCCAGCGTGACTAGGGAGCACTGTTTTACCTTCCCACCAAGGTGGTACCTATTTATCTACTCGCATTTACATGCTTTGGAACTGCTAGGTTGGCGAGGAGCTGGGACAAAGCGACGGGAGCTCACTCCATCGCGTGGATTCGATCTTACGACTGCTGGTCTTCTGACTCTGCAGCACAGGCTTTTGCAGTTTAGCCCTCAGTGCCACCACGTCCCTGGTGTATTATTTATATGTCAAATCAAATACTGTCTTGCTACAGAAGGTAAAAGGCCCACCCTAATCCCATCAGCCAAAAATTTTCATAAGCAAGGCAGCAAGGCTATGGCCATCCATTGTGCATCCCCAGTGCTTGACATCTGGAGGTATATTGTCTCACAGTACCTGAAATTGCCATGCAGCTGTCATGACTAATAACTGTTGACGATTCTAGCCTTCAGAAACCTGCCTGATCCTTATTAAAGTGACCAAAGGGTCAAACTATTTCATGGCAGGAAACTTTTGTATGGTATCTTGTTTACAAACAAAACTGCTTTCATGTGATTGCTCTTCTAATGTAAAGACAGAGTTATTTTGCCGGTGTGATTGCTCACTCATAAAGGTTGGCTGCCTCATCTCCCTGGAACATACTGATTTCCAATGACTCGTAATGCATTATCTATCATCTATCATTTTCGACTTGGGTTAGAGGCATTAGTATACAGTCTAGTAGGTCTAGCACAATATTAGTAGGGTCATTGCAAATATTGGTAGAATGAGTGGGGGAGGGGAAGCTTGCAGCCACTGTGTAAGACCACCAAACCTCAAATATACTTTGTATTATTTCTAAGGTAAAGGTAAAGGTTCCCCTTGACATTTTTAGTCCAGTCATGTCCAACTCTAGGGGGCGACGCTCATCCCGTTTTTCAAGCCATAGAGCCAGCGCTTGTCTGAAGACAGTTTCCCTTGTCACATGGCCAGCGTCACTAGGGAGCGCCATTTTACCTTCCCACCAAGGTGGTACCTATTTATCTACTCGCATTTACATGCTTTCGAACTGCTAGGTTGGCGAGGAGCTGGGACAAAGAGACGGGAGCTCACTCCGTCGCGTGGATTCGATCTTACGACTGCTGGTCTTCTGACCCTGCAGCACAGAGGCTTCTGCGGTTTAGCCCACAGTGCCACCACGCCCCTAGTGTATTATTTCTATGTCAAATCAAATGCTGTCTTGCTACAGAAGGTAAAATGCCCACCCTAATCCCATCAGCCAAAAATTTTCAGAAGTTCATAAGCAAAGCAGCAAGGCTATGGCCATCCATTGTGCATCCCCAGTGCTTGACATCTGGAGGTATATTGTCACACAGTACCTGGAGTTGCCATGCGGCTGTCATGACTAATAACTGTTGATGATTCTAGCCTTCAGAAACCTGCCTGATCCTTATTAAAGTGACCAAAGGGTCAAACTATTTCATGGCAGGAAACTTTTGTATGGTATCTTGTTTACAAACAAAACTGCTTTCATGTGATTGCTCTTCTAATGTAAAGACAGAGTTATTTTGCCGGTGTGATTGCTCACTCATAAAGGTTGGCTGCCTCATCTCCCTGGAACATACTGATTTCCAATGACTCGTAATGCATTATCTATCATCTATCATTTTCGACTTGGGTTAGAGGCCATCACTGCACCTTGTGTAAAAATGACGTTTGAAAGGCAGGGACTGCCGACATGCAAGGGAGTGATTCAACTGCTACTACAAGGGGTCAGCAACGGGGGTCTAGCCTGATCTATCAAGGGTCCCATCTAACCCACCTGGCCTCCCCATATGGTCATGCCTTGATTGCCTGGATGTTCAGTGATTCCCAAGCTTTTCTAGAAGCTTTTCCCATTCCAAAAAATTCAAAATGCTTCTCCTTAGTTGCTGCCAGCAAGAGCCTTAAGCAGTAAGATGCTAGAGGTTTTGATCCAACCACTTTGTCTTTGGCCTTGCCCGATACTGGAAAAATGGTCCTCTGGAAACATATCTCAAATTGAATTCCAATCTCAAGTTGAAAGATCTTCCATTTCTACAATGCCAAGACCTTTATGACCTTCCATCAACCAACCAAGCTTCCGTATGACTAGGGAACGCCGTGTTACCTTCCCACCGAGATGGTACCTATCTATCTACTCGCATTTACATGCTTTCGAACTGCTAGGTTGGTGAGGAGCTGGGACAAAGAGACGGGAGCTCACTCCGTCGCGTGGATTCGATCTTACGACTGCTGGTCTTCTGACCCTGCAGCACAGAGGCTTCTGCGGTTTAGCCCACAGTGCCACCACGCCCCTAGTGTATTATTTCTATGTCAAATCAAATGCTGTCTTGCTACAGAAGGTAAAATGCCCACCCTAATCCCATCAGCCAAAAATTTTCAGAAGTTCATAAGCAAAGCAGCAAGGCTATGGCCATCCATTGTGCATCCCCAGTGCTTGACATCTGGAGGTATATTGTCACACAGTACCTGGAGTTGCCATGCGGCTGTCATGACTAATAACTGTTGATGATTCTAGCCTTCAGAAACCTGCCTAATCCTTATTAAGGTGATTTATGCAACAGGGGATAACAAGCAGGATAACAAAGGATGATGCCTTACCTCATGGCAATTGTCCTATGATTTATGCCATGACACATATTCCAGCACAACTAAATCATAGGATTCTGGCCATTATTTTGCAAGATGCCTAAATGTCCATGCTGATTGATCGATGCTGCTGTTTTCTCTGCTTGTCAATAGATTTTTGGGTGGGCCAGAGCAATTGCTGGCTCTATAATCTGATGGTTACATTGCAATTACATGTATTAAAATGCGTAACACACAAGGAAGTATGAGGCTACCTTTCTTACTGCTTAAGAAGCACATGAACTCCAGTATGGATCAGGACCCACATGCAAGAGGCCATGCTGGCTGAAGGATTCTGAGACATGTTTAAAAAATTAAAACCTTTTCCAAGCATGGGAAAGAGGGAGTTTCAACCCCTCCCTCAGCTCCTCCCCAATTCATTTTCCTTTTCCTGGTCCTTCCCTTCTCTAATGATGGTTGAATGGCTATTGAACTTGTAGGGTGTGAATCATGCAAGTAAAAGCAGAAGTTAATCTCAAATGTCCAACTATCTCAAAAATTCTCACCTACAGTGGGGTCTTGACTTGAGAACTTAATCCGTATTGGAAGGCAGTTCTCAAGTCAAAATTCTGACCCTGCAGCACAGAGGCTTCTGCGGTTTAGCCCACAGTGCCACCACGCCCCTAGTGTATTATTTCTATGTCAAATCAAATGCTGTCTTGCTACAGAAGGTAAAATGCCCACCCTAATCCCATCAGCCAAAAATTTTCAGAAGTTCATAAGCAAAGCAGCAAGGCTATGGCCATCCATTGTGCATCCCCAGTGCTTGACATCTGGAGGTATATTGTCACACAGTACCTGGAGTTGCCATGCGGCTGTCATGACTAATAACTGTTGATGATTCTAGCCTTCAGAAACCTGCCTAATCCTTATTAAGGTGATCAAAGGGTCAAACTATTTCATGGCAGGAAACTTTTGTATGGTATCTTGTTTACAAACAAAACTGCTTTCATGTGATTGCTCTTCTAATGTAAAGACGGACTTATTTTGCCAGTGTGACTGCTCACTCAGAAAGGCTGGCTGCCTCATCTCTCTGGAACATACTGATTTCCAATGACTCATAATGCATTATCTATCATCTATCATTTTTGACTTGGGTTAGAGGGCATCACTGCACCTTGTGTAAAAATGACGTTTGAAAGGCAGGGACTGCCAACATGCAAGGGAGTGATTCAACTGCTTCTACAAGGGGTCAGCAATGGGGGTCTAGCCTGATCTATTAAGGGTCCCATCTAGCCCACCTCGCCTCCCCATATGGTCACGCCTTGATTGCCTGGATGTTCAGTGATTTCCAAGCTTTTCTAGAAGCTTTTCCCATTCCAAAAAATTCAAAATGCTTCTCCTTAGTTGCTGCCAGCAAGAGCCTTAAGCAGTAAGATGCTAGAGGTTTTGATCCAACCACTTTGTCTTTGGCCTTGCCCGATACTGGAAAAATGGTCCTCTGGAAACATATCTCAAATTGAATTCGTTCTCAAGTCAAAAAGTTCTCAAGTCAAATCTGCATTTCCCATAGGAATGCATTGAAAACCATTTAATCCATATCTGCTCTTTTCCATCCATAGAAACTAATGGGAAGCTGCTATTCTGCCTTCTGCCACTAGAGGGGGATATTTTGTTTCTTTTTTTCTTAGGTCAAGAAAGGTTCAGGGAAGGCAGGGAAAATACAGTCCAGGCAAGTACAGTACCAGGCAGCCTGAAGACTGTCTCCCAATCCACTCTCTAAACGCTGGGAGGAGTGAGGAAGCAGACAGGCACCCTTTTCACTGGCCAACAGTTAACTGAAAGTTCACTTTTTGCACTTTCCCTGCCTCCTACATGGGTTTTTTTCAGTTCTTAACTCAAATCTAAGTACTTAAGTCAAGTCAATATTTTCCTATGAGAGCGGTTCTTAAGTCAAAATGTTCTTATCTCGAGCCGTTCTTAAGTCAAGACCCCACTGTATCTCAAGTCAAAATACAGAACTGCATTGCTACTGAATTGGAGTGCACACAGAAAACAAAAACAGGGTGGGGCAAACAGAGCAGAAGCAGGAAAAAGAAACAAAGCCAATCAACCATTCCACGCATGGCAACCAGCTATATAGTATGAATTGCACAGCATGTTTTTTTCTTTGGCTTATACATCTGGTCTTGTATGTCTAAATTGTCAAGAACATAAATAAAAACCATGAAATTTACCTCTTTCCATTCCATGAACTGCTCTGTGTCAATATAAAAAGATTAAACTGAAATGTTTAGATACCAGCTGGCTTCTGTTTCATTAAATTAATTTAATTCCGCCATATTTATGTGGAGGACTTGGCATAGAAGTACAGTACTCATTCTGTGTGAATCTGTAATTGTTTTGGTCACATCCTCTCTTTTTTTATGCAATGCAACTGCTGAGGCTACAGTTTGACTGATTCCTCCCTTTGTAGCCCTTTTCCACTGGAGATTATCCCCAGACTAGTTTCTCCAGCTCTGACTGGCAGCAGATCTTCTGGGTGTCAGGCAACTGTCTTTCACTGCCCTGTTATCCAAGATGCTTTCCTGGCAAGGGTGGCAACAGATGTCAGGAATCTTTCTGCACACGAAAGAGAGGAAGCTACCTTACACAAGGAAACTCTGTTTGTTCATCTCTCTGGCAGCAGCTACCTGGAGTCTGAGGTCAAAGTAGATGAAACAGCAGCTTCACGTTTAGAGGGTGACTCTCTTAACTATTGATATTAATCTGATTATTGCAGCACAAGCTTCTCTCATTCTGTAAATTCACTTGCTTTGTTTGGTGATTGGTCACTGGGAAGCAAACAAGCTTCATTTGCAGGTCTGGTGGCTCAGGCACGCAATTGTGGGATGAGCAACATGCTGTCACTTTAAATAAAAAGCTGCCGTTTCAGTTTGTTTGACCCTCAAGCAGATATTTCTCAGCACCAGGGGCCTGATTCTTTTTTAAAAGATTTATGACACGGATTGAAAGGGTACCAAACAGGTGCTCTGCCACTAACCTACAGAATCCTCCTAGGAGGAGGCAGGACTTAGGACATGCCCCCAAAGGTACCATATTTTGAAGTGTGATTCTGTACTGAGGACACCACATAGGGACACATTTGGGGGATAGTTTCATCGCAGGAGAATGAAAGGTGAGCATCAGCTCAGAGTGACAGGTCTCCATCCAAAACATTCATAGAATGCCTTACAAGTTTCCACCCAATCAGGATCTTCATTCTCCAATTTCTGTAGAGATTCATTGGTGGCATTTGCAGTCACTTCTCCTCGCACACTGGTTTCGTTTCCGGTCGTCTTCATTAGTAGATCTTTGCTCTGCCATACATACACAAAGAGAACGATTTCACTTAGGGTACCAATCATTATTCTCTGAGCTAAACATTCACATTTGTCACAAACAGACAATTCTATCATCTTCTTCTACAGAGGCCAAGAACTTTAAATCCTTTTACCACTGGATTATTAACCTTAACATTTAATTGGAAATTAAACATTTCCCTTTCACTATATTTGTGGCCAGAGTCACATACTGGACAAACCATATAAATTACTCTTCCACGGCATTCCCTCATCCAATGAAGCTCAAAGACAGTTCAAAGGTCTCTGAACTGTGTTTACAAAAATTCAACAAAATAGATGTAATGTTCTGTTTATATAGATTAGAGATATTTCTTGAACAATTCTTTCTGCTTTGTTTCTTATTGTTACTGATTTTAAAGTATTTTGGCCAATGGTAGGCAGGAAACAAATTAAACTTCCCAAAATATTAAGGACTGGGAGGTGTCTCTCTCTCTCTCTCTCTCTCTCTCTCTTTCTGTGTGTGTGTGTGTGTGTGTGTGTGTGTCACACAGGTACATGGATAATATGAGTGTACACACGCACTATAGGCAATGATGCTTCTCATATATCACTTTGAATAGCAATTCTGAAAATGTTATTTCCTGGCTCCAATCTTTAAAAAAGCTGGGGGAAATTTTGGAGTTACATGCTGAAAAGGGAATTTCCCATACCTCTGAAGATATGTGTACCTCTATTTGGAGCCTCCTTGTCACTACAGTCTACTAATTCTGAGGAGCTAGAACTTATCCATGGCCTTTAAAAATTAATCCAGCCATTTTAGAAAAAGGGACAAAGGCTTAAAGTCCTGCCATAGCTATAGCTCTGTAGTTTATCACGCATCCTCACATTATATCGCAAGCAGACAGTCCTGTATATTAAGCAAGTTTGAAAGTTTCCAACAATTTTAGAATTTCTCACCTCAGGGTGGCTGAAATCATGTGCTTAGCATTTTAATTCACAATTGAGTAGGCCCATAGAATTAATGGGGATTTGGTGAGTCAACCACTTTGAATCATTGATTCAGATTATTGATTTGAATTAAATGTTAATCATTGATTCAAAGTCACAACGAGATTAATCAGTTGAATTTACAGTGGAGTTCTCACCAAATTCCCACTGATTCAATGAATCCAATTTACGTAGTGTGGCTTACTAACCTAAACTACAGGATTTTATCCCCTGTGTTTGTTTATGTTTTAGGTAATGTCAGCATGACTTATCTCTCAAGAAAGCTGAAGCATAAGCATTGGTATTGGCATAACATTGTCCCAGAGAAATCTGGATTCTTTCCTTACCTGCTGAAAGCCATACTTCCTTGATTGATGATTCATAGACTCAGCTAGCATCTCCTCTATACTTCTTGTTTTATTCACAGAAGACTGAAAGTCAACCAGATAGAATACGGGATTGTTAGCTTTACATCCATTCCTAGATGTGAATGAATTTAATTCTAATCCAAAATATGTGGATCAGGGGAACACCCACTTTACTAATCTAAATGTCAGATTATTATGAACCAAGTTCCCAGGGAGATACACAGTTACTATCTCTCAGTCCCACTTGCTTCATCAGACTGTTGTGAAACAAAGAACTATGTATACAATTCTGAGTTCTTGGGAGAAATGGCAGGGAAAAGACAGAAAGACAGGAAGGTAGGCATACAGATTGACAGATTCTGACATGTCAACACCCAAACATCATAAATACCTCAAGAATTAAATACACGATGTCACATCTGATACTCTAAACACATTGCTGAGTCTATATGAATCAACAACAACAATACAGAAACTTATGTCCAGAAAGTTTGGGTTCATGCAGAAGGGCTAACTTTAATTAAAAGGAAAGAAAGAAAAGTGAACCTAGATGGCAATATGCATTAAAGGATGGAGCAATCCACTTATTTGGTGACAGCAAACTTTATGATACAGCTACAATATACAACCAGATGTATGTCTGCATCGCTATCAACTATGCAACTGCAAAACTGATTTTTTTTGGTTCCTCCCAGATCTTTCTGGCAACATTTTGCTTTAAATACAGACACTTTTTTATTTAAAAAAGGAAAATGTGTGGGTAAACATTTTACTCAATATGAAATAATCCTTCTTTTCTGTTCTTCAACATTTTGGCACGGATGAAGGCTGATATTATTACTCAGATCATTTACATTTAGTAATGTAAAATTAATTTATTTTGTTGCTATTTTGTATAGACTTACAATGCCACTGCCCCCTTCCTTTTGCAATGGCCTCCTCCTCACCAAACATTCTAGTTACGCTTATGGGTAAAGTGATTCTGTTCTAGATAGAAACCTGTACAGTAATAACAGTACAAGGAGCAATTAGGGCAATGAAATATCCAGAAGAGGGGGAATTGGGAGTGAAACACAATTGGAACAATGAACCATTGACATTTTTTACTATTTTCACTGGTAGGCTATGTCTCCAGGTGAGCACCTAGCCAGCCTAGAGTCTATGAGAAAGGTCAGGGAAATCTACACTGGATTGTTCAGTGGTTTAGGAATCTGGCTGTGGGGCCAGAGGTTGGGAGTTCTCTTCCCCACTGTAACTCTTTGACAGAGCTGGACTCAATGATCCAGCTTTACAGTTCTATGATTACACACATATGCGCCTGTGCACATGCGCGCGCACACACACAGAAAGACAAAGATAAGTTTGAGAAACCCTACATTTTTTCCCTACAAACTCATATTCCTTGCCAAACATCGATACCATTTAGGACTTAGGACTGGTCACACCATCAGGCTGGATCAGACACCTCTTTCATACAGATGGTAGGGGCAGAAAAGATGGCAGTAGTGGAGGCAGCAGCCTCCTTTTTGTTTGTTCCGAGCCCTTGGCCATTCCCCTCTGGCTTGGAAATGTTGAGAACTGTTGTTTTTTCACATAATATTTCAATGTGGTAGAAGACACAATCCAGTCTCCAGCACCGAAGTCAAATTCAGTTGCCAGAGTTGTTGGTTTCTGTACATGAAACAGGCATTGGGTGCCATCTTGCCCTTTGCCAAGCTAAAAGGGAAAGTATTTCTCAGCAATCCCATACATGCTCTGAGTACCATACTGCATTTGGGCATACAGGGAGGACGCCTTGCCCAGTAAAAGCAGAAGACAAATATGGAAATCAGCTTATTTATTTACGCATGTGAAGAGAGCCATTCTTATGTTCCTGCAGTAGCTTGCTTGTAACAGTAGTAGAGCTGTATCCCACACAGCTCCGAAAACATCTGGACATCATCTGGGTAAACCTTGAGTCATATGGAAAATCCCATCAAAGGTAGCACAATAACACTCAGGTTTGAATTTCCACAGGTTAGCTGGTTTAGTCCATAGTAGCAAAACCCAGGAAGAGTCCTCTGACACTTTAAAGACCACCACACTGATGAACGCATGAGAATTTGTGGAGTGGAACCAAAAAAATCTCATAAGCAAGAACAGAATTCAAGCAAATGAGTGCACATCAGTTTGTACCCATCATGTACTTGAGACACACTCGGTTCAAGGCTTATTTCAAACATAGGCTGACCTCCAAGTTCTGAGGGAAGTACTTCTGTCAGAGTGATGTGAGTAAGGCAGCCCAGGTGATCTTGTGACCAGCCTCCTTAACAAACATTCCTTTGCATTAAATATTAACATAGATTGAGGGCTTATCCAAAGGAGTGAAAAAGTCCATTGTTTTGCTCTTCAAATATCTACTGTTAATAGTAACTTCTGGAAAGCACCATTTTCCATATCTGCACTTAAAATGTTAATTCTCCCTTCAGCCTGGAGCACTACAGCCCGGATAACCATTCGCCATGACAGCTTTTCAGTCTCTAAAAATGCAAAGTTTGGAAATTGGTTTGTGTACTACACAACTCCCCCAATTTCCCAGCTAGAGTTTCTGACAGTTTTAGTCGACAAAAGAAACTCTCCCAAGCTCTGAAATGCGAAGAGATCTGATAGCATACAGTCTGACCTCTACTTATGTTTCCTGAAAACACCAACCAATTCACAAAGGAGCTCTCTTAATGTCAGCTGAGTGTTCGCTTGTAAGCTGAATAGTAAAACGTGAATATTAATCCTAACAGAGTTTTTGACAGGAGCTGGAGCTTTTCTCACTCCCACCTGTTCATCTGCTATTCCAGAGGATTTCCTTTCTCCTTGTGTTTCTGACCCACGTTGGGTGTTGGATGGAGAATGTGAAGACAAGGTTGCAGGAGGCTCTGTAATTTTTTCTGCTGGATGACTTCTATGAGGGAAAGAAAGAAGACAGTTGAAGGGGGAGGGAAAAGCTTTTCAAATTATGCATTTTTTCATTGGCCAAATTTTTACTGAGCTTCAAGAAGAGATATTTAAAGAATGAGGAAGATGAAGTTTTGACAAGGGCATGGTCTCCTATAAATATGTAAATGTGTATCAATAATTCTGTTTCTGTATCTTATAGTTTTCAAGAGGATGCTTTTTAAACTGCTGCTGAAGGGGGAGGGAAAAGCTTTTCAAATTATGCATTTTTTCATTGGCCAAATTTTTACTGAGCTTCAAGAAGAGATATTTAAAGAATGAGGAAGATGAAGTTTTGACAAGGGCATGGTCTCCTATAAATATGTAAATGTGTATCAATAATTCTGTTTCTGTATCTTATAGTTTTCAAGAGGATGCTTTTTAAACTGCTGCTCCCTGGATTTCTGGTGTGTGTGTGTGTGTGTGTGTGTGTGTGTGTGTGCCTCTGGGATTTGTACTCCAACCCCAGCTCTGATCCACAGAATGAGAGGGAGGGAGACGGTGTGTATTACTGGAAATCTCTGCGTATACTTAAGTAGTACCAGTCTGGTTTCATAGCATGAGGACTCTACTACTTCAAAACAGAGTAAAGTATTTGTATTTCTGTTTATCTCTTCTCAGTGTACATTTCTGGGAAGGGCTGGTAGTAGCCTGAGGTAGGGAGATGTATGCCAGGAATTTGGCACATGGAAAATGGTTGTACATATCCTACTTGAGAATCATCCTGGTAGCCTAGCTGCGCTTGCATTTCAGTTTTTTTTAAAAAAAATTAAGCCAAAATGAAGAACAGGCAACCTCCATGATAGATCTTACATAGCAAAAGAATTGATGATCATGCAAAACAGGACTGTAAACACTTACTGTATGTGCATGCACTTGCATGGGATGTGTAAAAAAAAAGATTTACTTTTCATGAATTCATGGTAGATTTTCGGGGATAGTTACATTTTTGCACTACAACTACTAAAATCCACTGGCCATGGAGGGCATTCTGGGAGTTTTAGGCTTAAAAGTAACTTCCCCTCACTGTTGCCTTGAAACCAAAAGCCATACACAGAATAATACTGTACTTCCTCTCAAGGAACTACCTTTGCTTAACCAAAGGATCCAAATAAGAATAGCAAGGCATCGTTTATTTGTAAAACGATGCCTTGCTATTCTTACTTGGATCCTTTGGTTAAGCAAAGGTAGTTCCTTGAGAGTTGTAGTTCATAGCAACCTATTAGGGTAGTTTATGAATTCTAAAAGGGTTTGTACTACTTTGTATTACCTTTCACCTGAATGTTCACCTACAAGTTCCTAAGTTTTTACCTTTTTTCGAAAAGAAACTCCTTTTGGCTCGGGGGGGGGAGACCCCTAGCTAGACTGGAAGAACCAGTCTTGTTGTTGTTGTTATTGTTTCAAAAGTTTATGGAGAACCATACTAACCTTATTGCCTCTGCTTCCAAAAGTGACTGCTGCCTCACTCTTTCAGCAAGAATTTCACTACAGAGCAGGTTGTACGGCTTATCAAGTGGGTGCTCACCCATGACCCACACCCAGACGTCACCATCTGCTCCAAGCTTCCACTGCACAGATTTTCCATGGGCTGCAAAAGAAATTAAACCAGGCAATGGAGGGTGGTTAGCTCAGTGGACTGTGTATCTCGTAGTGGAAGCAATGACTGAGAGTTCAGTTCCTCACCGTACTTCCCACAAGAAGAGGCAGTCTGTGTGGTCTTGGGCAAGCTACAGTACATGGCCCCAGCATGCGTGTGGTCTTGGGCAAGCTACATGGCCCCAGCATGCCCCAGAAGAAGGGAATAGTGGTAAACTACTTCTGAGTATTCTGTTTCTAGAAAACCTCAGAAAAGGTCACCACAAGTTGGAGTCAACTTGATGGCATATTGTTATTGTTATTAATGGAGGGTGACATATTCAAAGTCTTGAGGAGATCAAAGAACGCTCAACAACAGGAGTAATGCCCAAATGGTAAAAGTAAGCCAGCTGTCCCCACTCTTATCTCCTATCTCTGTCAGCAGAGATGCACTCGTGAAGGAGATGACATAGGTTAGAACAGGTTTTGCCCTTCCAGGTGTTTTTGGCTTACAGTTCTCATCAGCTTCACCCAAAATGGCCACCAGTAAGGGACTGTGGAAGAGGTAGGCCAGCTCATCGTATTAGCCCTACCCCTATTCAGCACAACAACTGGTAATGTACTTGTGGAAAGTGTAGGCCATTGATTCTGAAACTGGAAGATGTGCTCCATTAGGGTGGCAGAAAAACATTCCTAGGGTGGGTGTGAGACTGTGAGATTTTCATAAAGGAAAAAAAATGCAGATTTCTAGATATTGTTAGCAGAATTTGAGATTTCTCAAGAAAATCTGCCTGTATTTATTTTTAATTCTAAATCACATTTTGCTAACCTTCCCTGTTATTTCCTATAGTATTCCCAACACACTCTCATTCAGCATTGTCGGAAATCTAAAGGGTGACTAGGCTTAGCTGTTCATAGTGTGTCCACCATAGCCAGGGACTAAGACTTGGTAGAGGAGAGGCGTCTGGTAGAGAACGCTTTGTCCAGAGCCTCTCCAAATCTGGAGTAGCTCTAAACAACTGAATAGCTCAAGGCAGTTTCCTGCTTAATTAGGAATTATTAACAAACACAGTGACAGCTGGTGTGGTGTAGTGGGTGGCGTGATGGACTAGGACTTGGGAGACCTGGGTTCAAATCCCCTCTGAGCCATGGAAACCACAGAGAGGTGGCCTTGGTTAAACTACTTCTTAAATATAGTATATCACATATCTTGAAAACCCAGATGTGACTTGATAGTACATAACAGTAAAACAGACCAAATTGCCTTCAAAATACCAAGCAATTTTGACTGGTACAAAGCAACAGTCTTTCACAATGTTGTAAAGCAGAGCACAACAGCGCTACATCTCAGTGACGTGTACAGCTCATAACCTGATTATTCAATTACTATTTAAATGCTAGTTATAAATTTGACATATTCCTACTATTGTAACCAAATTATGTGTTATACAGTAAAGGAAACTAGCAAGGCCTGGTTTGTAGGCATAATATGAAATTGAACAGTACTGGAGCATTTAGACAGTTGTTCACCATGCCTGCATGATGACATCCCCGTAATTATCATCATATCCAGTCCCTGGTGGCTTTATTACCTCAACCATCACCACCCAAATTCATGAAGTGTTGCCATGACCCAGGGCTGAAAATTGCCCATCCATATAATTAATGATTCTATTATGTTGGCCCAAGGGATAGCCACCTCCACTGTGATTTTGACCCTTCATCCCCTTTGTGTAGTACAGCTGCATGTCATAGCTTTCACAGGTGTCTTTGGTGGGGACACAGGAGAGGACCTTCTCTGTTGCTGCTCCCAGATTCTGGAAGTCCCTCCTACAGAAGGCCAGCCTGGCCACATCATTACTGTCCTTCCACAAGCAGATGAGGACCTTGATCTTCAGGCAAACTTTCCTTCATTGACTGGCTGCCTTAGTTGGGCTTTTAAATAGATTCTTGTGTCTTACTGCTTTGAATGTGCTTTTGGCATTGCTTCTGTTTACTGTCTTTTAATGTGGTATTTGTTTGATCAGTATACTCACTGTTGTTAGCTTTAAATGTTCTTTTAATGATGCAAGCTGCCTTGGGTCCTTTTTAAGAAGAAAGGTGGGATAACAATATTTTCAATCAATCAATCAATCAATCAATCAATCAATCAATCAATCAATCAATCAATCAATCAATCAATCAATCAAATAAATAAAGAAATAAATAAATAAATAAATAAATAATAGTACAATCCACTTCTCCCAGTCTCCTTGGATCCATTCAAGGAAGCAGTAAAAGTACAGAACTTCACTGGGTGCACTGTTCTAGTTATCCATTATTTTAATCCCAGTCAGTGAATAAAATAAATAGCACAGATTGCCTATAACAGCAGTCCCCAACCTTGTTAGCCCCACGGACTGGCTGGGGAAGGCGGGGCACCTCCCTGTGCTTGCGCGCATGCATGAAGGAGCGGGGGTGCTCGTGCAGGCATGCACACGCTCATGTGCATATGCAAAGGGTGGTGCAACACTCGTGTGGGGCACATGCTCATGTGCATGTGCAAAGGGCGGTGTGGTGCTCAGGGGGCACCCGTGCACATGTGTGAAGGGGTGGAGAGCTCTCACAAGGGTGCATGCATGCATGCACAGGTGCAAACAGGCTGTACGCAGGGGGAGTGTGTGCAGGGGTGGGGGGGAGGTCTGTCTCTGTGGCCCAGTCCAGCTCAGGCCACAGACTAGCACCAGGCCGTGGACCGTCGGGCCACAGACCAGCACCAGGCCGTGGACCGTCAGTTGGGGACCTCTGGTCTATAACATATTGCAAGCACTACAGCCAGGCAAAATATGCAGAAGAATGTAACTGGCGAATATTTACTTTTTTATGTGTGATGTGTAACATTTACAGGTTGTTGTTCCTCCCCCCCCCACATTATTTTGGGGTAAGAAAAAGATTTTATGGGCATTCTGAAGTAACTTTAACAAAATTTTGCCATTTTCTTTCTTTTTAAGATGGTCTTTTATTTGAAGGTTAAAAACTGCAATGGTAATGAATTAAAGCAGGCTTTCTTCTATAGAGTAGCTTTCCGATTTCTGAAACACAAACAAATGACTTCATGCAAAGGCTGACATCATATTTTTAAAAATGAGTTTCCATGGTTTGCCAACAAATTTTAATAGAAAATCCAGAAAAAGGAAACTGCTTGGTTTAATGTTTTTTTGTTCTTGTTGCTTCTAACTGACAATTAATTTTGTGGTTTGTGTGTGTATGTGTGAAAACTGGCCTGTAGGCCCACTGAAATTGACCACCCTAATTTAATGCCAAGTCCATGGATTCTTCTCCATACTAACAGCACTAAAGTTCGTATTAAATATTGGTTAAAAAACCCAACAGTGACGGAGAAGGCCCTCTCCTGTGATCACAACCAAGCACATCTGTGAAGATGGTGGGACTGAGAGAAAGGCCTCCCCTAATGAGCTTAACACCCAGGCAAGCTCATAAAGGGAGATAATGGTCATGGCCCTAGATTTCCTCCAGTGTTTTCATTGTTTAATCTTTTCTTCATTCTACATAAATCCAGCTTTTTCTTTAATTTGTTTCACAAAGAACAGAACTTAGTTATAGAATTGTTACTGAACATTATTAGAGATGATAAATTAATTTGTGGTATAGGTTTTAAGTTAAGATTAGTTTATTTGCTGATGATTCTTTATTAACAATAGAGAACCCATTTACGGTTATCAATTGGGTTAAATTACATTTGAAAGAATGTGGAGAGATAATGGGGTTACCGATAAATCCGCATAAATCAGAGATGTCGTTATTTATTATAAAGAGGAAAAAGACGTAGTTGGGAAAAATCAGATGTTAATATATAAAAGTCTATTAAATATTTGAATTTAAAATATTTTTAAAAGGAAAATTTTGATAAATTGAAGCAAGAAAATAAAAGTACGTTAGGTGATTTTAGGAAGATGGGGGTTTCTTGATTTGGTAAAATAGCAGTGTTTAAAATGAAGATTTTACCTAAGATTAATTTTTTATGATGTTACCAGTAAGGATAACAGAAGGACAGCTGAAAGACTGTCAAAATATGATTAATACATTCTGTAATTGAGAGAGGAAAGTAAGGAAAGACTGTCAAAATATGATTAATACATTCAGTAATGGAGAGAGGAAAGTAAGGATTAATGAAAAGATACGGTATAAATCTCAAAAACAGGAAGGTTAGTCTTCCTAACACATTATGATATGGTATAAATCTCAAAAACAGGAAGGTTAGGTCTTCCTAACAGATTATATATCTAACAGAATGCCTCCTCCTGATGAGATCTGCCTGACCTATTCAATACTCTCAGGTGGGGAGCTTGAGACCACTGACCCCAAGAGAGGCCAAATTACCATGCCTTCTCAGTGGTAGCCCCTCACCTCTGGAATGATCTCCAACTTGAAATCCATCTGGCCCCTTCATTCGTGATTTTTAAACGATCTTGGAAGACTTGGCTCTTTAGGCAGGCTTTTCTGGAATTGACATCTACTTTCCAGTGTTTATCTCTGTTCCGCCCGCTTATCTCTTAACTATTTATGTTTTTTTCTTTCTTTACATTTTATGTTTTATTTTTGATTTCAATTTTTGATTTGTATTTGGTTTTGCTTAATTTTGAGTTTATATCCACCCAGTGATGGTTGTAATTTGATAATGTCTTTATTTCGTGTCTTATTTTTCTAGTGTAAACCACCCAGAGTGGCCTTGTAGCCAGATGGGCAGTACAGAAGTCGAATGAATGAATGAATGAATGAACGAATGAACGAACAAACGAACGAACGAACAAACAAACAAACAAACAAACAAACAAACAAACAAACAAACAAACAAACAAATAAATAAATAAATAAATAAATAAATAAATAAATGAGACATATATTTAAAAC